GAAAAGTTGTCAAAGCTGAAAACCTCTCTCACGGCAATCCTATTTCCTCCTACAGTTTTGAAGCTACATCAATGAGACATATACCATTCGATTTGGAAAGGAAAGATCTGCAAACGTCACTTGGTCGTTTTTCCAAATTTGTTATAGTTCGGATTTAATTTTGTAAAAAGTGGGGGAAGGCGCGGGTAAAATAGAAAAACTTCGAAAAATATCGGAAAAATGCTCCCACACCCACAAAAATGAGATATACAAAAAACCGACATATAACGTTTTTAGATATGGTCTTTACGCATCGAATGATATGTGTATCAATGTTGTAGTTTGGAAATCCTAGGAGGAGAAAGGATTTCTAAAGTACCCACTTTTTGGCCGTTTTCTAAGAATTTCACGTTTTCTTTCATTTTTTCGAACAATTCACACGAAAAAAGTCTTAGAATTCCGTTTACATGCGTGTACCAAATTTCGAATCGATCCGTCTGTAAATAACCGAGATAAAGTTGTCCCTAGACGCTCCCCTTAAACATAGAGTCTCTTAACCTATTGTACTCACGATTTCCGCTTTCCAAAATCTCTATATTTCACATACTTTTTTAAATTAAAATAATTCAGCATGATGTATGAATTCTCCGGAAATCTATTGAGAGATGAAGTGAAGTATTGAGAGATGAAGAAAGAGGGTTCGGGTGATGATGGAGTTTTTTCAATTATCATTTACCCTATACTCATAGCCAATCACACACGTATACGTCAGGCCATAAACAATTCTATTTACATTCGGTAGTACTCTATACGTTCGTCTCACTACATAACAGCAAGCTAATTTGAAAGCTTTTACGTCTACCTCCGCTACAAAATTCGGATCAGGCGCTGACGTTCCTTTTAGGTTCAACTTTCGGTGTCCGAAAGCATTTCTATCTTGCTCTGTACTCTGGTTTTGATTTCATTTCAATCTTTCCTATTCTCTAATGTATGAACAATTTTGAACATATGGATCTCAAAAATTTTCGTACCTCACTTTCTCATTTCTGTCTGCAGTATAATGTGGGTGGAGCGTTTAACATCTTAAAGTTAACTTGGACGGGAAAATTGAAACATATTACTTTGACGTATCGCCCAAGAAACGTAGGGTCAGTCATTGTAACTGCATCTTCAACGTTGGACGTTTTCCCAACGTTCTACCACGCAGACGTACATAGCCCCTATCCGTCATTGCAACGATTGTCACATCCCATCACTCCAGGTTAGTCCTACAAGAGAAAGCGTGGGTCATACAGCCCAATGACAAAGGTACTAGTTCGGTTAGTGACCTAATGAAGTTGAATGAGAGGTTGGTAGAGTGGAAGAAGCATCAGATTGTATGATACGAGGATATAATTCTACATTATTGCATAACAGACACATTTTCACTTGTGCCAGGTATGCACGAGTTCATTGACGTGGTCGTGTCTGATACCGACACGGCCAGTTTACGGAGCGTCACCTCCGTAGAGTTGACACCCCACGCCAGCCCAGACTCCGCCCACGCCTTGCCGCTACCAACCGCGTCGCCGCGTCCCAACACATTCGTCATACTCAACGACTCCAGCGCCATGCCACAGGGGCCGTTCAGCGTCGTCTACAGTGCACAGGACTCTGACGGTGAGAGATAAATTATAATTAATTGAAGAATCGATAAGAAAAACAGTGGCGGGAATTTGACGTCGATTGCGTTAGTAGAACAGGTAAAACTCGCTAAGTGAACGTAAGTACTTACGCACTATTTTCTTGTCTATGATTGGTGGATTTTGCTTGAAAGGCCGTCAATGATTGGCTGATGAACTTACAATCTATTAACTTTTTTTGAAAGTATGGCCCCAGTACATGTATGGAATAATCTGGTCGTATTTGCTAGTATTATACAGCTTATTAAAAAATAAATTATTTTGCATTTCGTGGCATTATAAAACCTCTCCTGTGAGTAAATACACAGGTAATGATATTTGTGGACTTCTTCCTGAAATTAATGGGTATGACTCATGTGAAATAACTTTTCAGTATCTTTTTAAGAGTAGAAAAACAATGATAGCAACACATAATGCAAAAATGGATTATATGCTCGCTAATTTAAAATTTTAAATGACAATGAATTCTGCATAATTGTTTCTACTTATCACCTTAACTAACCAAAATTCTTCACAAAAAAAAATTATGCTGAGTAATTACGTACCATCGCGAACAGAAGGATGGATTCGGTAGAGGCTTTAATTGAACATATAAATCCATCCTAAAGGATTGGATGACCTGAAGTAGTACCATCCCATGATAACTTGACCGATAAATTGGAACTGAGCAGGTTCCCCAGCTGGATCGATATTAAATATAAGAACTATTGCGATAATCCCATCCTGCCGGAACAGGCGGAGAGCTTGTCCGCATAAGTCAGCAGCTAGTGAAGCCGTCCGAGTCTCGCTTGAGCCTGAACAGCGGACGTGAGGTGTGGGGCAAACCAGGGACCAAACTCCCGGTTCACTTCAGCCTCATCAACACCGCTGACTCGGACGACACCTTTGCCCTGAGTGCTGCTGACGCTCTGGGGTACTCCATTAGACTACCTCGGAGAAGGTGAGAGTCTATAAGGAATAGCAATATAGCCATTTTTATATGTTCTCATTTGTGTGTAATTAGGAAGATGCCTAATTTCTTATAATATACTGAATGTTCTTTTATTGTTAGTATTGGTCTTTGTTTGGATCAGTTTCGAGTAAATTTTGACAGGCAAGCCTCAGTTTCGAATCTTAAATTCAAACTTACATATGTATCGTGCAACATGCATTCACAATAGAACCATATTATCTTTTTAGTGATTCCGTGTATGAATTGGGAGCACTAATAACTTTTTCTTCGAATATAACCTTAAAGCCAAGCAGGTTGTGCACTTGATTATTAAGCTATTTCCTGTCGACATCGTAGCACCAAAACCAGAGCTTGGATTCCGACGAGGAGGAAAGTGTGGTAATGCAAGTTAATTGGTAAGGTACCATTAGATTGTGCTATAAGGGCGGCGCATCCCAGCGGCCAGCTTTGCCAAACTTCAC